CTCCCTTTCAAGCTTGAACAAAAACACAAGAAAACCCAGAACAAGTATAAACCAAGTGACATTCACCTAAGGTGGGGCACTGTCACTGTGAGGTTGGCTAGCATGCTTAAGGAACTCTTCACTAGAACCTCAGGTGTCATGAGAAGTGTACTGAAAGGATGTGACCCTGGATACCTGGGTATCTTCTGTCTCTCAATTTAGCTCCCAGGAAGTCTATGTGTTACTAGGCAGCCTAGGTGCTATGAACCAACCTCTTCTATTTCACAGAATGTTCCCTCATCATTACCCAGGAAGACAATCCTTGCTCTCAGAATTAGTCTTATGATTTTCTGGCCACTATGGTTCAATCTGAACTATCGACAAAGCTTATCTTGGACCTGGTTTATATTAATAGAAGCAAATACCTGTTTCTGTTGAAAAACAGGAGGTGACATGGTCGGGTGTTTCAAACTAAATTTTCTGCCATGCCTTCCCTGCTGACAATAATTATTCTATCTCGCTTTTCAATGCTGGGTTTCAACAGGAAAAAATATCCAGGCTGAGTTTGTTCTCTGCACACCAACATAGCGCCATCTACTAGCTCTCTGGGACCTCTCCAGGCCAGCTAGATTCCCCATTATTAGTTGTACCTTATTTTTTTAACCTGCTGAAGAACCTAGCCCTGCTCCAAGCCACTCTCCTAATGGTGAGAATTGCCAAAAATTGATTTTCCCCTTTTGAAACCATGTTCAACTCCTTCCAAACCTTGGTGTGTCAAAAGGGGCATTCAGATGACTTGCTTTGACATTCTCTTCCACTTTTTCCTGCATATACCACTTTTATTCCATAGGATTTTAGATTTCACTTCAAAATCATTTTCCTCTATATCTAGATGTTGTCCTCAGATCATGGTGCAGGGATTTTTATGAATGCCACCCTGCCTTTGGCATTTAGTATTTTTTTTCTTGAACTTCCATTATTGCTGATATGGGAAATGTTTAATTTAAAAAGAGAAAAATAAAAATGACTCCAGTCACTATGGCTTCAGAGCTTAATTGCATTCAGTTTTGCAGCATTTCTCACCCTGCCCTTTCCATTTCCTGAGTACACACGGAGCAGGGGCCTCTGTGCAGATTCTGTCCTCTGGATTTACCAGATCTGTTGTAAAGTGCTCCTGGCCTGGGAGCTGGTGGCCAACTTTCCAAATACAGTTGAGCAAGGCTCTGGCCTCCTACCTATTTCAGCTTTCACAGGCAATGCCAGGCTTCTTGACTGGGCAGTCTTCCCTGTGTCCCACTGTTAGCAAGTCACATTCACTTTACTCTGGTGGACCCTACTTGCTCTTCCCGGTGAGCAGTTGCAGCTATCTTTCACATACCCAAGAAAGCACTGATGATGTCTGGATTTCCTCACTCTCCCGCCCCCTCAGGATGAGAAAAGGCAGACCTCCCTCCGGTCTATCCTCTTCTGTCCCTTGTACCTTCCCACAAAGGTGCACAAGAGGCACTGCTCCTGCTGGCTGAAAAGCTGAACTGAAAGGAACAGGCTTGAAGAGCAAGGCTGTGCTTTGGCTTCCCCCAGGAATATCCTGATGAGTCTTCCACATACCCTGCCCTACCCCTGCCTCTCTTCTCAGCCTAGGTTCAACCCACGGTGGATAAATGGGCGATAGAGATAGTGGGATTCACCCCTTGTTCTTTTTCCCCGGTCTTGCTCTTCAGCAGAAAGACTGTGATTTTACTTCCTGCACACTAGAATTTTCCCTGGGTCATTCCTTCTCTCTCCTTAGACTAGGGTTACAGTAAAGCTGTGTCTAGAATTCCAGGATCTCTTCTGGCTATATGAAAATGAGATCCAAGGATGAGAATATTCCCAAATTCTCTCTTTCAAAAAAAAAATCAAACTTTCAATATTATCTCACTGGAGTCTCAGAAAAACATCTAATGTGAAATTTTAAAAGCAAAGCTGTCTCTCTTTTGACTAAAGCCAGAAGTTCATAATTCTGGAAGCACATTATAGTAACTAGGGCAGTTTTTAAGAATAGTGATGTCTAGGTTGTGTGTCCAGATCCCAGTCCTAAAAGATTCTAGAATCAGGCTCAGAGAAAGATATTTTTTAAACTTCCCAGCAATTTTATTGTTTAGCCAGGATTGAGAGTCACTGACCTAAGGCTGTCACATGTCTTTCCCTCAGGGAAATACCATTGAGTCCACGTGTCCATGTCCATGATTTATGAGGAATGCATAAAAAGAATTTTAATATTTCAAGCTTAATGTGCTGTTACAACCCTAAAACATTCTACAACACAGACCCACAAATTCATGTTATCATCTTACCAATCCTTTCGAGCATGTGTTACTATTCTGTATTTAGTTGAACGGTGATGTGGAGCTCAAAGAGGTTAAGTAATCACTGGAGACAAACACAAATCTTTATTCCTGATATTAATAGCCACCATTTACAACATTCTAAACATGATTTTTAAAATGAACCTCCTATTATTAAGATTAGATATAGAAACAGATAATTTGAAAACTGAAGACTTTCTGTAATCCTAAGTCATAAAGATAATTACTCTCAATGATTGGCTGTGAACACCTCCAAGCTTTTTGTGTCATATGCAAAGACATCAATAAAACACTATTTCCCCTAATAAGATCACACTGTATGCAATTTTGAAACTTAATTTTTCTCTTAAACATATATTCTACAGCCGGGCACAGTGGTGCATGCCTGTAATTCCAGTGACTCGGGAAACTGAGGCAGGAGGATTACAAATTCAAAGCCCTGTGAAACAATTTAGTGAGGCCCTAAACAACTCAGTGAGACTCTGTCTCTAAATAAAATATAAAAAAAGGGCTGGAGATGTGGCTCAGTGGTTAAGTGCCCCTAGATTCAATCCCCAGTCCCTCCTACCAAAATGTTTACCAAATTGTCCTCCAAGTAAGTGAAAACTTACAATTACTTCAACAATATATGACAATGATTTGGTTTCCACACCTCAGTGACACTAGGTGGGTATTAGCAATCTTTTTTGAATGTGCTCATTTGCTAAATGGAAGTGGATACCCATTATTAACTAAATTTGCATATGTTTACTTATTTAAAATTGGACATCTTTTTACATATGCATTTTGATCCTTTGTATTTCCTTTTCTGTGAACTACCTATCTGTGTGTTTCACTCATTTTTCTATGAGATCAATTGGCCTTTCTTTATTGATTTGTGAGAGATTTCTGAATGCCAGAGAAATATGGTGTTATTTGTGGTTTTGAGTCTTGTCTGGTTTGCCTTTGAAGATTAGCTGAAGTGTCTCACCCTATATTACTTTCCAATAACTGTGTAATGTATGGCTGCAGACTTGCTGATTGTGAACAACAAAAATTTATTATCTTAGAGTTCTGGAGGTTGGAAGCCAAACATGGGCTCCATGGGGCTAAAATGAAGGTGTCTGCAGGGCTGGATTCCTTCTTCAGGCTCAAGGGGAGGACTCTTTTCTAACTTTTCCCAGTATCCACAGACCATTTGCAGTCCTTCACTCCAGGCCCTGTCCCTTTCCCTTCAAGCCATCATCCATGTGGCATATTTCCTTCTCTCTGACCTCTACTCCTCTATCATTTGTTTTTTCCATCTGACCTAATTCCATTGCCTCCTTTTTATTAGGATCCTCATGATTACATTGAGCCTACCAGGATAGCTCAGGATAAATTCCCCATTTCAAAATTCTTAACTACATATGTAAAGTCCTTTTTGCCATGTATGGAAACTTGTCTACAAGGTCCAGAGATCAGGATGTGGACATCTTTGAAGGACTGATATTCAGCCTACTGGGCCTCCTCTTCCCATGTTTTTCTAATGTCTTGAGTAAGAATTAATTTCTCTTTCTCTCTGGATCCCACAATTCTCAGCATGAGATGATTCCCATATTTCTAATGTGAGAATTTTTAGAGCTTCTGTGAAATTTGGGCTAATCTTTTTACTCTTATTCTTACTGTCCTGGTGACTTAGCTGTTTATCTCATCTATGCAGTCAGATAGGCCTGAATCTAGACTGGTAACTCACTTGGTTTCCTCATGTGTGGAGGGGGAGAAGCTATCCTGCTGGATAAGAGAACAGATGGCAGAATCAGATTCCTGATCCAAATCTCTGCTCCACCACCTACGAGTGAAAATCTGCCCTAATTTCTCAGTTTCCTCAACTACAATACACAAATAATTACAGTATTTACTACATGCCTTTACTGTATTAATTGAATATGTGGAAATGGCTTAAAATAATGACTGGCATAAATATTTACTAAAAACTATAATTTATTATTTCTCATTGTGAAGTTATTGTAAGAATTAGAAATGGTAGATAACACCACAACAGAAAACAACACAATGCACAGGGTAAATTACCAGTACACTCTTGCTTTCCATTTATCTTCATCTTCTGTGTTAAAAACAATAGCTTAAAGAAGTCCAATAAAGAGAATGCTGTATTTCAAAGGTAGAAAATGTAGTGAAATGTATTCAACTTTGTGATAATAACCTGAATTATTTCAGGCTCTCATTCTCAAGCTCAATATGTCACAGGGTTAAAAACATATGAAAGGTCAATACTGTTGCAATGGAATGATTTTATTAGTTCCACTGATGAAATGATAATTGTGTCAACCACAGGCTTTTAAATATTACAAAGTGTTTTCAAATATATTGTCTCACGGGGCCTCAGTGTTAACTCAAGGCAGTATGTAGCAATCTCATGGCTATTTGATTATTTCAGCTCCCCAGATTATTATCATCTTTATCACATAATAGCATTTTACTCCCTTGGTTCATGGGCTCTCCCATTGTTACCTATTTGTTTCCCAGGCAAATTGAGCTAGTCCACTCAAATGATTATAGTAAATAGAATAGAAACTTGTGGAATCATCTTCCTCTATGGTGTGAAGCAACAGCAGAGTGGTACAGCAAATCAGCTGTTCCAAGTTCCTCAAAATGAGTTTTACTTTTGCAAAAGAGCCTCTAACTTCCTGCATTCTGTGAGCTGCACTGTGAGCAACATGACTGGCAGCCACGTTTGTTGTAATTTTTTAAATATGTGGAAAAAAAGCAAGATATCGACCATGTATTACCTTAATCAAGATGCCAAATTATCTAACTTGTTTCTCCAGGCCAGCAGCCCAACGACAGGGGCAGCTCCCAGGAGCCAGTCAAGGTTGTCTGTCTGTCCATCCACTCAGGACATTTGCAGGTAAGTGCTGAGCAAATAATCCTATTCAATATTGCTTAGACCGGTGTTTTGTGTTTTTGTTTTATAGTATGAGAATGTGTAGCTCTTGCTTCTGCTTTCCATGGTCCATGGACAATTTATTTTCCTCTAGTTCGCCTCTCCCCTCTAGTTCATTTTCTCCTTTTGGTCTTTATTTACCAGCTTCTGGCCATGCTATCATTTTCATCATTCTTTTTCTTTCCCTCTGTCTTTCCATCACTTTCCTCTCCATTCCCATCTCCCATCCTTGGCCTGCTGCTTTGTCCAGATCTTCCATCTTACATGACATGTCAGAAGATGCATTTGAGCAATGCACCCCTGTCGTGGTGCTGGGTCCTGCTAGGAAGGAGTGTGGTAAGAAACCAGTAAAACAGAAGCCTAGGAGGAGGAGAAGGGCCTCCGAGAGATACAAGCATGCAGAAGAACAAATAAAAGGGGGGAAAAATGACTTCCACCTCCAGATCTCAAGCCCCAGATGGAGAGAACTTTACACAGATTCTTCAGACTCATCTTCCACAGATGAGAATCATTGGATTCAGACAAAAAAGAGAGCCCAGGTTAAGTTCAGACTGTCACGAAGAAGGAGAAATAATAATAAGCCCTGTGGAAACTCGGCTGCGTCTTCCACTCCTAATGGAATTGAGCTTGTCGATCTGGGATCCAAAGGTGAGAAGCAGCAGGAGCCAAAGGAATGTGAGAGTTGCTCTTTAAACCTCTGCAAAGGAAAAGTCATAAGGTACCAAGAAGGATCCTTTGAGATCAAGAGACCCTCAAGGAACCATGAGAGAAACAAAGTTAGATACCACCACAGGGATTCTCAGCTCTTGCACAGTCTTAGGCAAAATGAAACAATCAAGAAAGGATTTTCAGAAATGGATTCCAGCACTGAAATACTGGCAGTTAAGGGAGGCAGCCAGTCCATGGACAATACAGGGCTCCAGGTGAATAATGCTGTTCAGAATCCTCCAGCCACCTACGATGATCACTTAGCAGTGTGCAGGTCAGTTGCTATAGAGATAGACTTGATGTCTTCCTAGTAGATTTCTTCCTGCTGTGAGTTGGGTGTGTGTTTGTGTGTGACCAACCCTCAAAATGTGGCATTTATTCATGCTGTTATTTGTCTGATAGGCTATAAGATGATAACATGAGAAAAGCTGGGTATGTGAAGAAGAATGCAAAAGTATCTGGGCGTTCGAAAGCGAATTAGGTTTCTTCTTCCATTTCTTATAGTTGAATAATCACCTATCCTGGAAAAGGGATTACCAAAGCACTTGAGGCTTGTGCCCATTCCACTTAAGACTAAAATAATGGAGAACAAGTGAGTGAGAAGTGTGTGGAACCTTAGAACATTCCATGAGAATCTGGTGAACTGTTAGCATCCTGACAGAAAGCTATTCACAGCTTAAGTTCTTTAAGGTCAGATTTTTTTTGCATCAGAAAAATCTCCTGTGCAGTGGGCTCTAATTTGTTCTCCAATTGCCTGACTCAGCAGGGTCACTCAAGACTGAAAGGACAGAGAAACGGTTCATGGACATTTCAGTGGGGTTACTAGAGCCTTTAAGAAATGAGAGCACATTAACTTTGCTGATAATCACACACTGAAATATGTCAACTTTTGGACATTTAATAGCTCTGATACTGCTTTCTTGTACTTTTTAACCAATGCACACATTTTCAAAATAACACAACATCAAAAAGAAGTATAAGGATATCCATGATAGTAGGCATAAATGAGGTACTTAAAAAAAGTTAAAATTATATTCAATCATTTAAACTGGATTCCTATTTGTGAGCAAGTGCAGATTTTGTTGTATAAAGCATGTCTGTTTGACTTTATTCTCATAAAACTGAAGTTACTTTATAAAACGTGTGTGTGTGTGTGTGTGTGTGTGTGTGTTGCATGTGAATCACATGAATGAGAGAAAGCTATCCATGACCATTTGGGGAAGGGGTTTGGGGAAGGGGAGCAAGAAAAATTAATTTCTAGATGTGAATAACATTAGAGTTTCTCTGAAAGTTCTATATGATAGTTATTCATAAAATGTTCATTCATTAATTCAAGCATTTATTATGCATCCAGCTTTCCTCTAGGCATTGAAAATACAGTGCATATTTGGATAGTTTCTGACATGATAGAGCTTATAGTCTCATGGAGAACCCAGACACGAAACAAATTATTTCATAGTTATTATATTTCAGTCATGATAAGAATCTGGGAGCACAGAAGCTCAACCTATTCTGGGAGATCAGAGAGGAATTCTTCTAAGGAAGTGACAAGCTGACCAAAGCTCCACATACAACAGACTTGATCAAGGAAAGAAGCAGGAAGGCCATCCAGGCAGAGCATGCCAGGAGGAGGGAAGGAGCCTGAGAGCAGGGAACTGAAAACCTGCTTTTGTGGTCTGGGTGTGGCGAGGGAGGGGGAGCAGACAGGGAAATAAAGATGGAGAAGTGGGATGGGCTGGGCTACACAGGGCCATGTTGGGGGGTTTAAAAGGCATTTAAAAGTAAAGTGACACCATTTGACTTATGTATTAATGCAAGTTTCCTACAATCTTTTAAATATGACTTATGCATGCCTTTCCTGAACATTTAAGGGATAGGCTAAACATCATTTGTGGTCTAAACTAAGAACTCCCCACTTGCAACCATCTGTTGTCATTTCCCAAATCTACTTCCAGCATTATTTAGTAAGACAGCCAAAGAAGCTAGCTTTCAACTTAAGGATAATTGGAGAAAAAAAGTAATGCTAACAATTAAAGTCATGGTGACTGACTCTCCTAACATGAATTCTACTCTGGAGGAACGTTTCCACAGACAGGATACTTAACTAAATGAAAGTGAGATCAGTGGGCTATTGCTATTATTTCCTACTGTGGATTAGCACCAAAATACACCATCTAAGCAAATGCTGTGGGCAGCATATTATACCGAATGCTGAGGATAAAAACTGGCAAAAGACTTGATTTTTTTTTCCTTTAAGCAGCCTCTTTTCTAAGTGGGAGAAATTGAGTGCACACCTGAAAAGACAAAAGTTTAAGGTAGCACAGAGTGAATGTAAGAAGACAACTATTATAGGAATCTGAAGAAAGAAAACTCTCCAGAACTGGAATGATTTAGAAATCCCTTAGGAAGGGATGGGATTAGGGCTGAGAAAAGTAGAATTTTGACTGGCGACATTTCCTGGATGGTGCTCCAGTTACTACAGTCAGGGAATATATTATTAGCTCAGATAGGGATTGGGGACTGACTGTGCATTTAAGATTTTTTTTTTATGAAATTGTGTGGCTGGGTTAGAAGATTCACATAGATTGATAACAACGAATGTTTTTCTTAAAGACGTTTTGAAGAAAATATTGACTCAGAATTCTGAGTTGTTGCTTCTGTACCTCTGTTTCCAAACGAACTCAATAAACTCTTAAGTTCCAAGTTTTTGCTTTAAAAGCTGAGGGCAGGTCAGGGGCCCTCTCTTAGTCCATCTTCAATCAGACTCCATCTTCAACATGGTTCTGCATAGTATGCCTCTAAGGAATAAAAAGGTACTACTACTAAAAATAATACAGAAAAGCCTTTGCTAAATAAAACAGGCTGATGGAGTGTCACATAGAGAGGGCCACCATCCTTGTCCTTGAGTGTGCTGATAGAGGAGCCTCGATTTAAGAGGAGCTGTGGAAGAAGTATCCCACTGTGAGTTGAGCAGGATGCCTGTTCATGGATAGCGAGCGAGAAGAACAAACGGCATACTGGCATTCCACCAAATGAATAGGAATGATCTTAGTGACTAGATTTGGTGAGAGCATAAGACAAAGGAGTCAAAGGTGACTCCAAACGTTGGGAGTTGGGAGACAGGAAATGCTGATGTTATTGGCACAGGCAGGAGAGGTCAGGGGTCAGTTGACTTGAGAAAGACATTATGAGTTCAATTATAGGCAGGCTGTCCGTAGATGTCGTGACATTCTGGTGTCAGCTGTCCAGCAGACAATATGAGACATAATACTGAAGTGCAGGACAGCAGGCAGAGCCGGGTATGAATAATTTTTCAATCATCAGTGAATAATACACAGCATCACAACAAACCACTGCTTATGTGTAACTGCATATGCTAACGTGATGTATTAACACAGGGAAATAGATATTAAACACAGAAAGCTTCTCAAGGCCAGGGGAGATATAAAGGCCATGGTAATTATTCTCAAAGAGGTGACAGCAATGTCCGGAAAAGTGAGTTATCTCTACAAAAGATCATATATGAGTGAAGGCTCCAAGCAGATAGAGCCTATGCACCAGGGTGCCCAGAGAGGTAGATGACAGTGACAGAGCAGCAATCTCCTGTGAACTGGCACTCCTGTGCTTCAGACACGCATGAGCAGGACGGGATCAGCCACAACCACAAAGCAGAAGCAGCTTGGAAGCCCTTCCTCCTTTTCTGTTCCCGGCATTTAGTCCTCACATGGACACTATATCCTCTTTCACACCCTCATCAGGGCCTTATTGAGACATAGCGTTTCTATCAGCCAATTGTAACATGGAAGGAATGTAAATCACCATGCTGTCGTACCCACAGTTGTGCACAGTGGGAACATTTTGCCCTTTTTACAGAAAAAAATATATATATATTACAAAAGAAAACATGAATAAGAACATCTTAGCCCCTCACTGAATTTTTTTAAGACCTCGAAGTTGCCCTCAGTGGCACGGGCAAAATCTTTCATGATTTTCAAGTCCCCCCCTGATCTCTCTGTCGGGTCTGCCACTTCAGCCCCAACACACGTCATTATCCGTGACCTATCAGTGCTGGTCTCTTCCTTTCATGACCGAGATTGGCATTGCATTGTCTCTGACTCTCACCAGACTAATTCTTCATCATTCTTTCTCAGCTTAAATGTCATTTCTTTTGGGACACATGCCTGACCTCCTAACAGTCAATCCCCTTGGCTGTCATTTCCATCATTTTTAATTGCTACATATCAGTGTTTTGTGAT